GGACAGACCTTTGGTGAAGAAATTGTCCCAATATCCAATCTAAACCTCCCTTGGAACAGCTTGAGGCTGTTCCCTCTCATCTGTCCCTGTTTCCTGGGGGCAGAGCTCGATCCCCCTGGCTGTCCCCTCCCTCAGGGAGTTGTGCAGAGCAATGGAACAAGTGCAGGAGCAGAATTATGAAGTGACCCTGAATTGCTGTGGGGTTTCACCTAAAACTTCATCACTTTAAAGCAGTTATTTACTCACTTCCTTCATGTCAAGCTTTCACATGATTCTAAATCTGGAAAGGACAAGAATGTGGGGAAAAAAATACAAACCCAAAACTTCTTTACCTTTCCTATTTGACATAAACAGAGTAAGTTCAGAAATGTTCATAAAGTCACAGGCTATCCTGAACTGGAAGGGACCCACAGTATTACCCAGTCCAACTCCTGATCCTGCACAGGACACCCCCAAAAATCCCACCAGGTGCCTGAGATGTGATGAACATCAATTAAAGCAGCTTCCTAAATTGCAGCTCCAAAAGAAAGGGTGTTTTTCTGAGTCTTACTTCTAGGAGCTGCAGGCAATGGCACAGGCTGCCCAGAGAAGCTGTGGCTGCCCCTGGATCCCTGGAAGTGTCCAAGGCCAGGTTGGACAGGGCTTGGAGCAACCTGGGAAAGTGGAAGGTGTCCCTGCCCATGGCAAGGGTGGGAATGGAATGAGCTTTAAGGTCCTTACAAACCATTCCAGGATTTCATGACAATTGATTGGATCCTGGTTGTAAGATTGTTTTTTTTTTTTTTTTCCCCTCTGTTTTTCTCTATATCTTACTTTCAGTGAAATAAGACTTCAACAAAAACACGTTTTGAGAAAAAAACATACAGAGCAGAAAAAACAAAACAAAACAAAACAAAACCTCTGCTTTCCCCACAGACCTGGAGCTCCCATATTGCCTGGTGCTATACATTTTAAAGATGTGTCTTTCCTTGTGGTGACAGTCAGTGCATCTGCCCCGGGAGAGAGAGGAATGGGAATGTCTGGCCCAGTGATTCCTCTTAATGTGCCCATCTGCCACCCACACACAGCCACAGACAGGGAGCAGGGCAGAGCCTCTTTTTAAATGTTGGGACCTTCATGATGAGTGCAGTTTGTGTATACAGCAAAAGAAAAAAAATAAAAGGCCCAGCAGGGCTTTTTCCATCTGATCCTTGCTCAGTGAGACAGAGGCTGCTCAGCAGATCCTAGGTTTTCACTCCCTGAGTAGTCACAAGTTGCCTCCAGCTCTTCCTTCTCCTTTCACGGGGATATTCACTGCCATGGGAACAGCAAACACATGGGAAAATTAAAAAAAAAATTAAAAAATTAAAAAATAAAAATAAAAAAATTCTGGCTGGAATTCCCAAGGTTTAGCAGACAACTCCGTGTGACGCTGCTGATGCTCCGTGTTCTCTCTTGTTCCTGCACTCCCAGTCTCTACAATCAAATAACCCACATGGAGCCATGCACTCCACATACAAAATCACTTGGATGTTTTCCTCATAACATCCACCTGGATTTCACCAGCCAGGGGAGGAGTCACACCCCCAAACCCAAGCCAGGTCCTTCTTCAGCCATAACCTTTATCACCCTCAACAATACACCTTTCCATTCCCTCCCATCCATTTTCCAGCTTTTTTTATAACCAAATTTCCTGCTCTAGCCCCACCACAGCACTCCTCTTTACCCCCTCTCCTGCACCTCAGCCCCAATCTGCTGGGCCCTGCCCTTTGGTTTTAGGACAGGATTTTCCTGATTTCCCATTTTCCTCCTTGCTATTGTATTTAAAACTGGTAAAATCCTGCTTTGCAATCCCATAGGACACTTTAAGATGTCTTTCCTTATCAAACTACCATCTCCTGTCTTTGCACAGCAAAACCTTCTTGAGCAACAGATCATGGAATCATGGAATGGTTTGGGTGGGAAGGGACCTTAAAGCCCATCCCATGGGCAGGGACACCTTCCACTATCCCAGGCTGCTCCAAGCCCCATCCAGCCTGGCCTTGGACACTTCCAGGGATCCAGGGGCAGCCACAGCTTCTTTGGGAAACCTGTGCCAGGGCCTCCCCACCCTCACAGCCAAGAATTCCTTCCCAATACCCCATCTATCCCTGCACTCTGGCAGTGTGCAGCCATTCCCTGTGTCCTGTCCCTCCATCCCTTGTCCCAAGTCCCTCTCCAGCTCTCCTGGAGCCCCTTTAGGACATGGAAGGGGCTCTGAGCTCTCCCTGAGTGCCTCTCTTCTCCAGGCTGCAGAGATCACACACTGCAGTCAGAAGTGGCTGTTTCATCCTTTAATTCCCTTCAGATCTTTTTTTTTTTTTTTTTTTTTGAGGGGAAAGATCATTAGGTCATGGTGCTGGTGATTTGTTGCTGCTTTTTCTTCTTTTCCAGCGCTTTTACATTTAAGACAAGCCCTTTGATGAGCCCCCACAAAGGAGGGTTCAGCATCACGGCCTCTCTTCTTTCTGGCCAGGTGAAAACCAATGCAAATATTTCACTCAGCTCCTGTGGAGTGGCCTGAGTTTTAATTAACTTTATTTCCCTGACCACACTCTTTGTCAGGCTTCACGTTCACAATGTGTTTGGAAAAAGAAAAAAAAGATTGATTTGAAGACGTTTCCTCACATTTTTCAAGCTCTTCCTGCAATTCTCTGCTGAGCTGCCTTATTGTGTTTAATACTTTGTCAGGCCCAGTTTATTATCTTTTCTATTTTCCATGTTTGGCCACAATTTCAGCTTTTCCTTTCTAACAATCTCCCTCATCCCACTGTTCTGCTGTGACCTTTTCCTTTTTGCTCTTTCTCAGGCCTTTTATTTTATTTTTTTAATACCTGTCATCAGTTTTCCCTGAGTCTCCTTCTAAGTGGCCTTAAACACCTCCCCAGGTGCTTGCAAAGAATCTATTTGCAAGCATTTAACTCCTTTAACTGCACCCTTTGTCTCCTTTTTGATAATTCCCCCATTTTTATATCACTTCCTTATTGAAATGGAGTGCAGAAGCAGTGGCCTTTCCATCCCCTGCTGCCCTGGAAAGCTGTGGAGTGGAAGTTCTGTGGGATCTGAGTTGCAGGGGCTCTCCCAGGGGACAAGCCCAGTAACTGATGTTTTCTCCCTATAAATATGAGAAACCCTTGTAATCCAGTAATTCATCGGTCTAACAAAGAGATATTCAGCTAATTTCTCCTATAAAAGGTTCTTTCCAGGA